ATAAAATGAACGTAATTTTGATTCCAATAATAAAGTTCTGGAAAATGTTCTCTGAAAATAGCTGCTTACATTCTAACCCATTTAAACTTCTGTTTCTGTTAGAATTATTTTTCTTTTTCAGAAAATTAGAACTCTGATTAAAGATAAAGATCTGAAATCATTATTCAAGGCTTATGTCTAACATGTTGGCTTCATACGACAGTTGGCTTCAGACTCTGAAGATGTTTTTCAATTCATAATCAAACTTCAAGAAGTGAAATCTGGAACCAGACTCCAAAATTGAGAATCTGGAAGTTGTCTTAGTGACATTAAAGTTTCAAAGATTTCAATTTGATTTCATTCTCGTTGGCATATAAAGTCAAGATTAAATAAGAAGAATTTTTGTGAAATCAAGATCTCAATTTGTCTATTGGCATCCAGAGTCAAGAATCTCAAGATCTCAATATCTGATCTATTGGAACTAGGGGAAGTTTTACTCAAATGGTTCAGAGTCAGGATATTCGATCTTCATCAAATCATTGACTAAGGGGGAGCATCATAAAAAAGATAAGTATTCCTTACCTTTCTATTTTAACTTCTTCTAATTATAAGAACAAAATTGTGTCATCAAAATACATAGTTTTGTCATCATAAAAAAGGGGGAGATTGTAAGAACAAGATTTGGTTCTGCAATATTATCTCTGAGTTTCGATGATAATAAATGAGTATATTTTTATGAACAATTTTGATACTCTAATGTTTGTTATTGTTGAGTACTTAAAAAACAGGTTATACTTCTGATGGATGGCGTGGTCAAGACATTAGAAGAGAATTAATTCCGCTTCTATGCTACATAAGTTCTGTTGAACAGTAGCAAGACACTCCAGAAGGCTCTAAAGTGTAATCTCTGATGTTTTTCTAAAGAAACCAGTCAGAAGATCTGAAGCCAAAAGTTTCTACTTATGTCCAGATGCTAAAGACTCAAGCTTCTAAAGACAACAAGTTCCAAAGAAACAAAGTTATCTGAAGAAAAAGTTTCTACTGAAGTCCAGATGTTGAAGGCTTGTGTTTCTAATAACAAGGATCTAAAGATAAGAGTTCTGAAAACCAAATGCTGAAGACTCTAAAGACAGAAGTTCTAAAGATTCTAAAGCCATGAAGTTCTAAAGACTCAAGGTTCCAAGAAAAGGTTCTCACAACTAAGTGTTGAAGACTCAATAGACACAGTTCTGACGACTCTGAAGACTTGAAGTTCTGATGACCTGATGTTATGTTCTCGCTTCTAAACTCATGCTCGCACAAGCCTTTGAAGTGCAGAAGGAAAGAAGATAATGTTAACATGGTACAAATAGTACATGGTACAATGCACGTTTCATTCCACTACCATGAAAGACGGACGCGCCACAATAATCTTGTCCCCCACGTTACTGTTCAAGTTGCCAATGTTTCTGGAAATCCCAAGATTTCACCTCAACGAATATATTATTTTATTGGCTATATAAAGGCTTGAAGACTAAGAGAGAAAGCAACTAATTTATTGAATATTCATGCGCAAACGTTGTTCATAGCTTTCACATTCTTAAGTCATTGTTCTTAAAATAGTTTACATGTTCAGCTTGGTTAGAAGCAATAATCTTGCAAACAAAACTTGTATTACAGTTGTTTGATTTTCCTTAAGGGACCGGGTAGGTCTGTATTAGTATGAAGTCTAGAGCTTGCAAATTTTAGAAGTTGTTAGTCACTTGCAGGTAGCTTGTGCATTGTAATAATCATGTTGATTATTGTTTGATATTCCTTAAGGGACCGGGTAGGTCTAAATCCTTAAGAAGTCTAGGGCTTGCGAGTCTTAGAGGTTGTTAGTCACTTTTGGGTAGCTTGTGTAAATTGTAATCAATTTGGTTATAGTGAATTAAGTCCTCATTTGAGTGAGGTGAAGTCACCTTGGCAAATGGACTAGACTAGCTTGATAATTTTCAAGTGAACTAGTATAAACATACATAGTTCTTTACTTTCTGTTCTTACTTATTGTCATTATCAAGAGTGAAGGAAAAAACATTTTAACTTAAAGGGGAATATTTTTAAAAGAATAGTTTTGTTTTAAAAACCCAATTCAAACCCCCCCACTTTCTTGTGGTTTTCAAACCTTCAGGAACTTGTTCAGAATATAAACTGCAGTCAAAATAACTTCACCCCAGAAAAATTTTGACAAATTATTTTGCTTCAACATGCATCTCTCCATATCCAATATGGTTATGTTTCTTCCTTTTTCAATTCCATTATGTTGAGGCGTATAAGGAAAAGTTACCTCATGATCAACACCATGTTCTACACAAAAATTTTCAAACATCTTCGAAGTGTATTAGCGACCTCCACCTGTTCTCAGAACTTTGATCCTCTTCTCACTCTGATTTTTGAAAAGCATCTTGAATCTCTTAAAGATTTCAAATACTTCGTCTTTTCTCTTGATCACATAGATCCACTACTTTCGACTAAATTCATCGAAAAACAAAATAAAATATTTATTTCCACCAATGGTATGTTCTTCGAATGGACCACATACATCTGAATGTACCACTTCGAGTATGCATGATGATCTCATTGGTATAGTCGAAACAAAAGAGTTTCTGGATTACTTTCCAACTAAACAACCTTCACAAAGTTTTCTGGGTACCTCAAGACTTGGGATACCAGATACCATATCTTAAGTTATCAGTTGATTGAGTGATCAAAAATTTAAATGTCCAAACCTCAAATGCCACAACCAACTATCCTTGTGGTCGACAACAATTTTTAGACATTATACTTCAGTCGAATTGATCATAGTCTTAAATGTTATGTTCTTCGACAATATAGATTTTAAGACCAAATTACTCTTGGTGTCGAAAAATTTCAAAGCTCCATCTTTCATAACAACTGAGAAACCTTTTTCGACCAGTTCTCTAACATTTAGCAGGTTGCACTTTATTCTGGGTACATAAAGCACATCTTTAATCATAACTTTTCCTCTATTATTTATTTGAAAGACTATGTTGTCGGTACCTTCTGCTTGCAATGAACTATTATCAGCAACGTTTACCTTGCTCTTCTTCGACTCGTTAAAATCTGCCAACCACTTCTTTCGACCAGTCATGTGATTCGAGAAGCCCGAATCGAGAAATCAGATCTTAGATTCGACATGGTTATCTGCAACTGTAGCCATAACCACCATACCACCTTCAGAATCATCTGAATCTTGTCATGCAAGATTCGCTCCTTCTTCCTTTCCTGTCGATCCCTTGTCTTTTCTATACCAATAATTCTTGGCTACGTGACCCCACTTTTCACAATTATAACACTGCACACCTTTTTATCTTCTTTGTCTTTTCGATAATTTCCTCCTATTCTTTTCGAGGATTCATAAGTTCTGTCTTCGACCTGATGCTTGTGAGGGTTCGACCAAGACTTCTTTCCCTGTGTCTTGTTGATATTGCCTTTGAATTTGTTGGAACCACCATTATTTTTCCATGACTGAGCTTGTAGTGTCTGTATCGAGTCCTGAACTCCTTTTCTTTTGACAATCTTCATCTCATGCGCCTCCAACAAACCAACCAATTCTTTCACTTTTAGGGTTTCAAGTTTGTTGGATTCTTGAATAGCTACGATAACGTGATCAAAGTGAGAGGTTAACATTCTCATTACCTTCTCAACTATAATCTTATTAGTTATGGTTTCACCACAACCCTTCATGAGATGAACGAGTTTCTAAATCTTCGACACATATTATGCAACTCTTTCGTCTTCTCCCATCGACAACAACTCATATTTTCGATGCAAGGTTTGTAACTTGACAACCTTGACCTTCTCACCTTCTTCGTAATACTTTACCAGAATATCCCATGCCTCCATTGCTGTTTCAGCACGAGAAATCCCATCGAAGTTAGCAGCGTCGACCGCCGTCTGAATGCAATAAGCAGCCTTGCAATCTTTCTTCTTGACTTCGTTGTGGTTTTTTTTTCTATTCATCGGTTGCATTTGCAGCCAACGCAGGAACGCCGTCGGTAACCACCTCTAGGGTTTCATGGAAGCCAAACAAGGATTGCATCTGTTTTTTCCATCGGATCCAATTTTTGTCGTCAAGTATTGAAAGAGAATTTGGAATGCCCTTATCACTAGCCATTTTCGCAACAGTTGATTCACTTGCGCTGGAAACACGATCTCTGACGTGAAATTCTTGAAAACTCGACCAAAAACAATAATTTGAAGCTCTGGATACCAATTTGTTAATGCGTGTGATACTTTTAGTGAGAAGAGCAAGAGAGAATAATAAAGGAAATAAGGATTCTATTATTCACTTAATGAATTATACAAATAATAATAATATAGACTAGAACTATTTATATGTAACCTTAATTGAACTTGAGTTTACACAACTTGAATTATATTTAAATATTAAATCTAATCAAATCAAATATTTTAACATATCTAACTTAATATTTGGACAGCTAGCAGCTCCAACCTTTATATACCAAAGAATATAAAGTCAGTATGTCAAATAGAACAAATTATTTGGTAGCTCCTGACTATCATCATTTTTTATTAACGGGAAATTAACTGGATTCCAGGTTTAATAGTGTTTAGTGTTAAACACACAAAATAAGGAAGCAATCCTTTTTCAAGCTGTTGCAAATTGCAAGTGCTCCTAATCCTAATTCACAGCTCCTGGAAACTCTACAACATGCAATAGTCAATACCCAGATATAATACGAGTTACATAAACTTGGGATGCGCATAATATATTAGCATTTTCCTTGTTTAACTTTAACGTGTGATTTGCAATTTCAATTGCATGTAAATGTAATATCAAACTTCAAATATGAAGTGCTGAACAAACAAACAAAATACACCACATTAATATTACTGTCAATATTGCAAGTTGGCTCAATCTACTAATACCAACACGAGTCTCAAAATTGCGTGGTTTCTTTCAAATATATCTAATATATAAGTATATGTATGTAGAAGGACTTTGCCAGCAATAGCATCTACTCTTGGGCCAGAGGAGTCTCATTGAGGTTAATAGAAGAATCCTTCTTGGTGATTGTGGATTTTGAGGTCTCTAATGGAGGAGAAAGGTGAGGGGAAAAGGGTCCAGTGACATGTGTCAAAGTAGCTGTGCTCACAGGGCGCCTCTCTGCTAGTGGCTTAACAGGAGAAGAAGGGGAAGGTATGGATAGTGGCAAGTTCTCAGTCTTGGAATTGGAGACAAGCTTGGGAGCTGATGTGGTAGAAGAGGAAACTGAGGACGGGGTTGGGACCACAGTGAGTTCATCAAGGTTAGCCACAACATGAGGAGACAAGCTCATATTTGGCCACATAAAGGTACCTCTTGGTTTGCAGATTTTAAAACCACTTTTCAGTCTTTCTATCTTTGCTGCCTTCTGCTCTGCTGCGCTGCTCCGTACCATTTGTGTGTCCGCTGATTTTGTTCCTTTGTCATTCTCCCTTGTCACTTCTCCAATGTTTTCTGTCAATGATGATGTTGGTCCTAGCAATAACGCTGGTGGTGTTAATGGTTCTGACATTGTTGGCTTCTGCATTCCAAGTTGGCCCTGCATTATGTGTCTTTCATTAGTGGCAAGCAAATTCCATTTCATTTAATTTGAAAGAAAATAATTACAATATTGATTTTCATTGCGAATGTGAATATAAAATATAAAATAGCATCATATAAGATCATAATGGGGGGAATTTTAATACTTCTGTTAATACAGGAGTACTATATAGTACACTCTGGACAAATGCATAGATTTTTAGGGGGAAATACATAGCAATTATTTGCATCATTATTATTTTATTTTGATGAAGGTATCATCATTATTTTTACAATGAAAACATTCAATCAATGAGCACTAAATTAAATATTTATGTTACCTCCATGCCATTCAAAGTCAGAGTAATTTCTTTTAGCTGTTCTTCAACTATAGCCTTTTTATGAACCAGCTCAGCATAAATCTCCTGCTATATGAAAGATAGAAAAAGCATTAAAAGTGGATGCTGTATATACTCTAAATATATAATATGACTCTTCCAATCCCAAATAAACTATTCATCTAAGTCGGTTAGCAATAATCTGGGCCTACTGTGCTTCCCCTCACCTGCTTATCAACCTGGGAATCATAGTCCCTATAGTTCAAACTTGACAAACAAGGACTAGAAGTAGCCACAATGGCCAAGGCTTCCTCTTCTTTTTTTGATTTGAGATCCAGCATATCTCTGTTTGAAGGTCAAGAAAATCAACCAATGACTCGGAACCAATTGAGTAATAAACAATAAAATCTGTGATTGAAATGAATCATTAAAAGATGGATGAAATTAGCCATACCGTTTCAACTTAATTATTTCCTCCCTTATCTCCCTGAGCTCATTCCTAGTAACATGATCTGGTGACATGCTGTCTCCAGGCTTCCATCCTGGGGGAGGAGTCCAGTAAGGATCTTGTACACCCATTTCCTTTCTGATATCAATGAGATTCGCACTCTCTAACCAGTATTCCATTGAACCTTCAGCATTGTGACGTCGGCGGAATCTTTCAACTCCTCCTGGTGCCACTTTTCCAGCCATGTGCTTCAGCAAATGATCAAGTAAACCTGTGTCACCAATATACTTTCGTGCTTCTGATCTCAAGTCTTGCCTCATTATTGGGTTTCCATACACAGCTTCTCTTTCCTTCATAACCTTCAACATATTCTCCTCTGCCATGTGATACCTTCAAATGTACAAGGTGACATATTTAACAGCAAAACAATTATTAACGCTAACCCAATGAAACCAAGTGAAAAACTGAACAGTATACTGAAAAAATGTTATTTATTTGAATACAAAAACGGACCCATTTACCTCTCAGCAGACCATCTGTCAATTGATATTTTCCGCCCTTTTTTCCTATAAACAACGAGTTGCTGCTGCTTAGTGTCGTTTTCTGCTTTCTTAGACTTTTTAGCCCCGCTGCTACTACTCATATCTTGTGGATTTTTGAAGCTCTGACGAGTCATCCTCAGTACCCCAAAAGGAGCTACCTTTACAGCCTCCATTTCTTCTTCAACGCTCTTTCTCTTCTTATAAGTCTTTTCCCTTTCAAAAATGGCACTTTTTTCCTTATGAAGTTGGTGTAAAGATTCAACCTTTTGCTCCTCATGACGGCCCAGGAACCGAACTTGTCTGCGTTGACCCCACTGCACCATACCCGTGAACTTGAGCTGAGACCAACATGGACCCTGCTTGGAAACCAAACTAGTAGCGGCATCATTGATAACTGGACTGTTATGGTTTAGAAAGGTTTCTTCAGTGGGAGAAGCCCAGAAGCTCCATGAGTTTCTTTTCTGAGCAAACTCCTCAGCTGAGATGCTTCTGCAAAGTGTTTTGATGGCGAATTCGATTCCCATCACGTACTTCTCGTCAAGTGTCGGGATTTTCTTCCCGCCCGGCTTTCCAAAGCTTTGGTGGTTGAAATGAGTGCTAAGAGAGTGAAGGCTTGGATACCTCAGAGATACTTCTTGCTCCCCTTTGTCACAGACCTATAGAATTCAAAATCCAGTAATGAACCCACCAAAGATACAATTTTTAGATTTATGTATAATGTTTATAAAACTGAGCTTTGCATATCATATTCAAAAAAGGAAAAAAAGAAGAAGCTGTTTTTCAAAATGTGTACATATTACCATTACAATGCTCACACATTTTATTTGAGAAGGGCAATTCTGTGGAAGTTTGGAATGATCAATTTCATAAAGTCGACCCAATGGAAACTCCTCAGAAGCCCCTGCAGTATATTTGTTGACCGTTTATGCAAAAACAAATGACAATTGGTCAGAAACGAGGAAAGAATGGAGAGTAAGAAAGGAGTAATAAATGGATAAACATAACAAAAACAAACAGGTGTAAATTGTAATTTTCTTATACACAATTATTACCATATAATGAAAGCCATCATTAGTGAATTAGCTTAAAATGTTAAGAGATGGAAATTAGACGGTGCAAAAAGGTTATAAAATGGCCATTTATAGGGACATCACCTATGATATAAGGTGAATCAGACGTGGCTGAGGAGAGCAGGACATGTTTGGCCAAAGAAGGGTTATTTTCGTTTTTGCCCTTGTCGACGTGGACGTGGTCCACTACCTGATTCAGAGTAAATAAAAAGGGACACAAATTAGTTAAATCCCAACAAAATAATAATATTGAATCAAATATAAACAATACCCTTCTTCATAAATTTTTTTCTATAAACGAAATTTATTAGTACAGTATATATTAATTAAGCAAAAGAGATACTTTTATTTTTTAATATAAACCAATTATACAAGAAAATAGAAATCAAAACTCAATTTTGTTCATGAAAAAGAAGATTTTTTTTGTTTGGATGATTGCTAAATTGGAACCCTAACAATGCCACATTTTACTAAAAGTACATTTTTATTTGTATTTTTCTAAAAACACACTATCAATAAGCATGTGTTCGATATTATTAATTAGTATACATAAAATCATTAAAAAAATAAAAACAAATAACAACATTCACCTTAGAAAAGAGAGCTAAAAAAAGTTATTATTAATTAGTACATATAAAATAATTTATTAAATAATAACAATTTGATTTAAGAAAATAAAAATAAATAATAACATTCACCTTAATATAGAATTTCCTTTCACCCAGTCTAATTTTATTTAATCAATCATATTATATCACTATATATCTATCACATTCGTTTAAAACATTTCAATGAATGTCAAACAATCAATCTTCACTATTTAAACTTTATGATAAATAAAAAATTGCATTGTGTGTGACCAACTATACTGTGTAATATGCAAAATCAAATTTCTAAGCTCTATTATTCGGTCTCTTATTTTTCAACATCAAATAGCACCGTAGAATGAGTGCGTGCATGCAGCATTCGTCAAGATCTCAAAAGGGCCCCAGCGCGTGAAAAGTTATTCCCTTTTTCAAGACAATAACAGAATGAGGCGCGTGCTGTGCGTGTGTGATATTTTGTGCAATGAGTATGATATGAAATCGATGAGAGAGAAACATACCAAATCTTCAGCAGCAGGAAAATCACCACCACTCTCCTCCATAATCTGCACCACAAGAACACTAACGATCGTAAAAAAAGCTTCATCACAGACCAGAAAAATCAACAACAATTAAATTAAGAAAGTAAAGTACATAGATCAATTAAACCTATACAAGAACAAGTACCATTCGTTAATGAAGTAAAAAAGTAAAAGCGATTAAATGAGAAGAGAATTTGAAATTAATGCAAAACTGAGAATCGCTTTCACAGTATAAGATCAGGTAGTGTCGATTTGTCTTCAAGCATTAAATGAATCCGAAAATGGCAAAAACATTTGTACTGAACCGAACAAACGATTCCAAGTTTGTGCAAGAATAGAAAACATGCTATGTTCAGAAATTAATCAATGCTTCATTGCAACAATGGTGCAGTGAAGATCGGAAAAATCAAAGGAACGTTGCTGAAGTAGAGCAATACCGTTCAGAGCTTGTTTTGTGAAAAGGAATTTTCCCGAGAAAACGAATAGTGAAAAAAGTGAGAAAACGAAAATCTGTTATACTACGTGCAAACGCACTGTGAAATGCACGGAGAGTGTGATTAATCATTACTATTTTCCTTTCGCGGTTGTGTGCATTATTTCCAAATTACCGATATGCCCCTGTTTGTTATTTTTATTTTGTTTTAAATTCATAAGCTTCCAAAATTTACACGACTACGTTTTCATGTAACTACAAGCGTTTTGATATTCAAGTTACTAACTCCTGAGTTTGTTAAGTGCTAAAAAAAACAAGAAAAACAATAACTATCACTTTTGGTACTTCAATGTTGAATTTTTAAACATAGTAAAAGTTGTGGCGCTTGATGCATACGAAATTTAATTCATACTGAATAGTGATACAATTTTTTATTTTTATAATGATATAACTATGTTGTGAGGTAATGCGGTCTATGTTAGAGAATAACAAAATTCAGCTACTCACAAACTTTCAATTTTGAAAATATTGTACGAATGAAACCTCCATTTTCTCTGAAAAATTTGAAACTCTTTAATTGTTGCTTTTTTTTTATTTGAAATTATATTAATATTTTGGATAAATCATGAACAATTTTAGATAAAATAATTATATAGAAATATTTTGGTCTGCACATTTTCAATTTTGCACTACTTAGAGTCTTAGACGCCAATAAATTTTTAACTACTTACTGGATTGTTAATAAAAATGACATTTATAGTCAATATTTATTAAGTTGTAAATCATTATATATCCGAATTCTAAAATGATACTTCACATCTGATTTATTGTTATTATTTGATAGGATAATTTTTTCCAAAATATATCAAGTTAAACTCATTTGAAACAAGTGTGAATTATTGACACTTTTTTAAAGTAAATTAATGAGCCAAATTTTAATAAAATAAATTGTTTTTGATCATGATAACTTTGGATAGGCCTTAAAGGGATTGGTCCCCCAATCATCTATTTGGAAATGATGTAAGAATTTGGTGTGAAAGGATGAGATCACACGGTGATTGCATGATCTCATTCGGTATAGCCCAATATGTCTCAATCCAAGACTATAGGAGAATGTGACAAGCCACGTATTAAAAAGATAAATAAAGTCATCAGTCGTGTAAGATAATTGCGATCCTTATTAAGGAAATGGTTGGTTCCACATATTCTCATGATTTAGTCGAGTCCAAGGGATAAGTGGTAAATCATATCGGAGTTGGAATCGATATTCTTCGCAACAACTTGGCCAAGGGTACGAGTCTATAAATACTAAAATGATACGATTGGGGAGATTCATTCATAGATCAGAACCAAAAAGATCCCATTGTGCATCTCATTGTCGGTAGGATATCCTCTATTGTACTTATTGCAAGTATATTTTGCGTCCATTGTGGGGTCCGATAAAAATAACTTGGATCCCACTCTCATCTAAAACACTAGTGGTTTAACTCAATGTTCCACAATCGTGAGACGGGATACCACTAACACCATTAGCAGCGATCAAAAATCCATAATAGATATGCAATTTACATCGTCTTAACGAAACCTTGCAAGACAACATTTTGCATATCTGGCAACACCAACACAAGGACAATCCACCTGAGGGTGTAACAGCCCGAGCCTTCAGCGTTCCTGACACTATTACCTCACGATCTTCTCTACCCCCCTCACTAGTAGAGTTTTTGCCTTTCGTGGGAATCGAACCCTGTACCCTGGGGTTCAAGTACATGCTCAATGCATTCCCACTATCAATTGAGCTAGTGGTGTTTGCGTTGAAGATTTGGAGACATTACTTGTTTGGATCGAGATTCGACGTTTTCGGTGATCATAAGAGCTTGAAATATTTGTTTGATCAGAAAGAGTTGAATATGAGGCAGAGGAGGTGGTTAGAGTTCCTAAAAGATTATGACTTTAGTTTGAATTACCATCCTGGTAAGGAGAACGTGGTTGTCGATGCATTGAGTAGAAAATCATTGCATATGTCTATGCTAATGGTTAAAGAGTGGGAATTACTTGAACAGTTTCGCGACTTGAGTTTGGTTTGTGAAGAAACTTACTTTGGTGTGAAACTTGGTATGTTGAAGATTACAAGTGGAATATTGGATGAGATAAGAGAAGGACAAAAAGAGGACTTGGTTTTGGTTGACAAATTGACTTTAGTTAACCAAGGTCAAGAAGGAGAGTTTAGAATTGATGAGAATGGCATGTTGAGATGTCGTGATAGAGTTTGTGTTCCCGATGTGGGAGATGTGAAAAAGAGGATCCTTGAGGAAGGACACCGAAGTGGGTTGAGCATTCATCCCGGTTCCAGAAAGATGTATCAAGATTTGGGAAAGTTGTTTTGGTGGCCGAGTATGAAAAAGGAAATTGCGGAATTTGTGTATTCGTGTTTGGTATGTCAAAAGTCCAAGATAGAGCATCAAAAGCCTTCTGGTTTGTTACAACCTTTGTCTATACCGGAATGGAAGTGGGACAGTGTCTCGATTGATTTTGTTTCGGGTTTGCCGAGGACCCCGAGTAACTATGAGGCTATTTGGGTTATAGTGGATAGATTGACAAAATCTGCTCACTTTATTCCAATTAGAATGGATTACTCGATGGAGAAGCTTGCGAAGTTGTATGTGGAGCGGATTGTATGTTTGCATGGTATTCCGACGTGCATTGTTTCAGATAGAGACCTGCGGTTCACATCTAGATTTTGGGAAGGTTTGCAATGAGCTTTGGGTACTAAGTTACGTTTGAGTTCCGCTTATCATCCACAGACGGATGGTCAAACGGAGAGAACCATTCAGTCACTCGAAGATCTTCTGCGTGCTTGTGTGTTAGAACAAGGAGGTTCTTGGGAAAGTTACTTGCCTTTGATTGAGTTTACCTATAACAACAGTTTTCATTCTAGCATAGATATGGCTCCTTTTGAAGCGTTGAATGGAAGGCGTTGTCGAACACCTTTATGTTGGTACGAGTCGGGAGAAAGTGTGGTGGTTGGACCGGAAATTGTGCAACAAACTACGGATAAAATTAAGTTGATTAGAGAGAAGATGCAAATTTCACAAAGTCGCCAAAAGAGATACCATGATAAGAGGAGGAAGCCTCTTGACTTCAAGAAGGATGACCATGTGTTTTTGAGAGTGAATCCTACGACGGGTGTTGGTCGGGCTCTTAAATCGCGGAAGTTGACACCTCAGTTTATTGGTCCGTATCAAATTTCGGAAAGGATTGGTAATGTGGCGTATAGGATTTCATTACCACCATCACTTTCCAATTTACATGATATGTTTCATGTGTCGCAATTGCGAAAGTATATTGCGGATCCGTCACATGTGGTGCAAGTGGACGATGTGGAAGTTAAAGAAGAGTTAACCGTTGAGACTTTGCCGACAAGAATCGAAGATCGAAAAGTGAAGCAACTTAGAGGAAGAGAGATTTATTTGGTTAAGGTGGTGTGGGGTGGTGCGGCTAATGGAAACATAACTTGGGAGCTTGAAAGCCGGATGCAGGATTCATATCCCGAGTTGTTCGTTTAGAGGTAATTTTCGAGGCCGAAAATCTTTTAAGTGGGGGAGAGTTGTAACACCCTGTTTTAATTAATATTATTTAAATTATTATTTTCTAAAAATGGCCGGTTGATATTTATTTTGGTAAATCGATAATTATTTAGTCGGTAAATCGGTCCGGTATGTGATTAATTGGATTTATTTGGTTTACCGGAAAATAATTATTTTTATAAGATAATATTGTATTTTGGTGAGTATATATTAATATGTGTGTTAATTGATTAATTGGTGATAATTGAATTATATTAGTATTTATTGAATTATATTAAGTTAGTTTATATAATAATGTTATATAAGTATCAGTATGTTAGTTTCATATATATGTTTATATAAGTTAATGTTATATAATAATAGGTTAGTTTTGTAAAGTAAGTATGATATATATATTAAGATAAGTTAGTATCATTTATTATATAATATAAGTAGTAGTAGTAGTAGTTAGAGAGAGATATAGAAGAAAAAAAACCAGAAAGAGAGAAAAGTGAGAAAGTGGAGTAGCAGAAGAGGAAAATAGAGGAAAAACTAGGGTTGAAGAAAAGAGGAAAAGTTCTGGAAAAACAACCGAAAAAGCTCGTTCCGGAGACTAATCGGTAAGGGTTAGACTTCCTCTAAACATCTAGTGTATTTTTATTGCATTTGATTTCGGTTTTTCGGTTTAGGAAATTAGATTATTGTTGACGGTTAGAAAAAATATAATTTCCCTGTTATGTGAAAATGGCAATGAAGAAGAAGTGGGGGAGGGGGGGCACGTGGGGGTGGGGTGGGGGGCTACGTTAAGTTTCTTTTCTCTGTTACGTAACTGAATATATATATATATATATATATATATATATATATATATATATATATATATATATATATATATATATATATATATATATATATATATATATATATATATATATATATATATATATATATAAATAGTTTATAATATATATTATATATTTATATATATTATAATTAATAGTGCGATTAATTATATAATCAGTTACGGTTTATCGATGAAACTTGATATTTTGGTTTCGATCAGAGATTAATTAAATCGTAGATGTGTGATAGATTTGAAATGTGTTGTGAAATGTCGATTCCGAAAATAACATTGTTCAGTTTATAAATATTATGTTATATTAATAATTTAATTAATATATTAATATATATATTATAATTAACATTGTAATTAATTAATATAACCGGTTACGATTAATTGGTAAAACTTAATATTTTGAGTATGACCGGAGATGAATTAAATTGTAGATGTGTTGAATATTCGAGATATTTGGTTAATTGCCGATTCCGGAAATGATGTGTTTGGTTTATGAATATTTTGGTGTTGTGTGATAATTGTTGAAATGAAATAAATGATGTTTGTTGTGCAATGTTGTGAGATTAATTCATATGGTTGAATTATGGTGATGTATGCTTGTAATTGAGATAGAGGGATGTCTTGATCTGCATATTGTTGTTGATTGAATTGCACACCGCATCATAAGTCGTGTCAAGAGGCGATGTCTGTTAGTCTCGTGGAGGCTAGTGGCT